AGAAGGTCTACAACATTCAGCACTGTCACTGAAAAGAAATTATTATAACAGGGCTATTTTAGAAACTGATTGCTTTTCCCCTCAAAGAATTATGATAACTTTATTTTTTAAATTACTTAGAATCATGTTAATTTATACACCGACATCTTTAGAGATCATCTTAAGAGTCTTAGTGATAACTTACTACTGGATTTTTCCTTTGCCGGAAGGTGGGAATGAGGCCCTAAGGGACAAATCACTTGTTCACCTATAGAATGGCACATTCAGATTTAGAGCTTAGTCCTTCAATTCTCATTCTGTCCTCTCCTTATAATTTTCCTCCTTATAATATCAAGAAATTTTATTAAAATGATACCAGACTAATAAATATTTTCATTAAGTTTTATGGATAAAATTAACATATGTAACATTATTAGAAGAGTCAAAGAGAAATAATTATTCAGGAAAGCATAGTAACATTTTAAGCTGACTTACAGTAAGTATACTGAACAGGCTTTAAAAGCAAATTCATTTGGAAACAATGTTGTGTTGTAATATATGAGAATAGGTGGGTATTCTATTTAGAACCACACTGCTCATGGAACTGACAGAACATTGTTTATTTTGTAATCCCACTATTTAAGAAAGTTAAGATTATATTTAAAAGATTTATTAAGTCATAAATTAGGTAAATAAAATTAATCATAACTAGTAGTTTTCTTAAAATACTTTTCCCCCTCCCCACTACTAAGTGAACTAATCCTAGAGTTTGCATTAATTAGTTTAAACATTCAGGTCTCTAAAAAATTAAGTCTAGGAGGCAGTTTACCCTAATATATATAAGGATGTTCTAATACTAGTAACTAATATTTACATACAAATTTTATGTGTTAGCTTATTTGATCCTAAAATAAGATATTTTATAGCTGTTTATTCCCAATTTGCTTTGCTAATAAATAATAAATCCATGATTCCTTTTTTTTGTTTCTTTGTTTTTTTTTTTTTTAGTTTTTGCTACAGGGTACATGTACTCTTAAGAAAGAGAGAGGGAGAAATCACACTCTGGGGGGGATGGCCATGCCACAATCCCTTCTCTCCTCATCTCTCAGGACTTTAGGCATGTATGTACACATGCCTATCATGATTCTTAAGCCACCAGGAAAACTGGCCATGTGGGATCCAACGCCTTAACCTCCATGCTGCTTGCTGGCCTGCCATGATTCCCTTCTTTTTAAAGAACTATTTCCTTTTATTTATTATTCCATTAATTTAACCAGAGACAAAGAGAGAGAGGGAGGGAGAGAGGGAAAGTGAGAAAGCAAGCAGCCAGGTCTAGGACTCAAACTGTGGTTGGTCCAGTGCCTTAACCACCATGCCACCTGCCGTTCCCCCATGATTCCTTTAATTTTTTTTTTCTTGATTCACAATAGAGTGTATCCATACATGTGACACAGATAGAAGAAAAGAAAGAGAGAGAATACCCTCCGCAGAGTCAGGTCATACTGCAGCCCACTTCCTCCAGTCCTCCAGCATGTCTGATGTATTTCAGTCTGACTAGGACAAGGAATCTAACTGTAGAAACCATGCAGGAGTCAGCTTCTCCTGAAGAGTGCATTACCACTGTGCTATGAGCCAGTCCAAAGCCATGATTCTAAAGCCTAACAAAGTTTGGTACTTCTGAAGCTTTTCTGACTAAGTACCCTTAAGATAAAGGATTATAAAATAAATTCTAAGTAGGACCTGACAAAAAGCCAAGAACACAGAAACTAGGTTACTGCTTTGAAGAAACAGTACTTCTGTATTTTAAAATTACCCAACACAGAAAATGCTTGAACTCCCCCATCACCTATTTGCAATGGAATTAAAATCACACTGGTTTAACACATTGCTGAGGACTCCTAAAATGTACACGTCCCCTTTGAGAAATGCAACATCTCAACTTGCAGCTTTCCCACTTTGTAAGATGAAGATAGGACTCACTATATGTCCTCTTACTCTCTCACCTCAAGGTAACTTGGGTCTGGTGAATTCTTCACTGCTTCATAAAGCTCTGCACCATCTTGCAGAGCACGGACTTGCTGTCTTGTTAGTATATGTGATGGTATATGTGGCTTTGTTGTATTTTCTATGAAAAAAAAAAAAAAGACATCACTGATTGGCTAAGCCACAAATATTACAACAATGTAAACCATTAACAGAAAGCTGAGCAAAACGCACAAAGGAAGGAGATTAAAAAACAAGAAGTCATTTTATCTGAAAAAAAAATTTTCTAAGGAAATTTGAAACTGGTGTATTCATGGCTAAAAATGACAGGACCACGAGTAGCACAGTGGTTAAGCACTGTGCAAAGAGAGCTGGATTCCAGATGGTCAACCATGGTTTGAATTCTACA